TTATTTGTACGTGGCATTTATCATTTTTGCAGATCCAATCGTTTTATAATTGCATAAAATCTGCAGTCTTGTTATATGATTGGAATTATATGATTTATTTAATAATTTATTATTGTGTTTTGACTGAGTTGGTCTCTGATGGAATATTTATCAGATTTTTTGGAAGTGTCCTAAAGTTTATGAACGGAAGTGTATATATGTACATGTATATATCAGGGTAAGTGCTTTCTATCACGCGAGCACCGGTTCAAGGATTTATCCTTCTTCGTTTTTCTCCCGTTTTCGTTCAGTGCCCTAACCCGATCCCGTGCTCGCCAGACCGTTCCATCAAACCGTTCTCCTTGAAATTTTCTTTTATCACTCAGTTTCTGTGGTTTGCTCAACTAAGTTGATAATTATAAACTTTAAGCTGATATCTTGTTAAGGACATGTTTTAATTTCTTTATGGATCATATTTAAGTAATTGTTTAATAATCATTAAATTCATTAAATAATCATCATAAGAATTTTCGTTTATAAAGAAAGACTTTAAAACCAATCAAATGATTCTTAAAGATTGCTATCACATTTTTAAACCTTTCATCGAATACACGCTGAAACTAATTTAAAAATTATGCTTGATGATACTTTTACGTCAGTGCACTTCTCAACGCAGGAATTAATTTTCCTAGCTAAGTCATTAACAACTCATTTGCCTTGCATTCTCGTAAATTACATTAAATAAAAAAAAGATGTGCTCCTCTTTTTTTCGAATTATCCTGATAGTATCTTTGAGTACTTCCTTATACTAACTTTTGTATCAAGCCAATATCACATGTATAGTCGACATACATAGATCCTAATAATTGAAATGAACACTGGAATGAAATATACACTTTTATTCATAATTACATAAGTATATATGTAGATACATATTGAAATATTGAATTCGTTAAGGATATGCAAATCCCGATTGCGTTCAACGTAAGGAAACGATTACTTGAAAGTATCATTGAGAAATCGAATTGGTCGACGTTGGTTGCGATTGACGAGTCACGTGTGCGTGGGGAGCACGTGATCCGTACGCAAGAGGCCTTTGTGAATGAAGGAGGAAGGCCCCTGGGTACGCTCGCCTTACTCGCTTCCGGAAATCGCGAGCGCGTCGGCCGGATGCCCGAGAGAAAATAAAGGAAGTAGCCAACCGCGATGAAAAGTACGGCTGGAAGTGTAACCGGCCTCCGCGGCTGCTCGCGCGAGATCACCGGGGAATATTAAGGAAAACGAACCACAACTACGCTGAATGATAATCGCGTTATCCTTTTTGTTTTCTAGGAAGTCGATCGTTGATATTCGACGCTGGTTTTTAAATGCTTCGCGCTACGATGAACGCGTTTCTTTTAAGCGAATTTAGAACGCTGGGAGAGGATTGAAACGGGGTTTTGTAATCCACCGTTGAAATATTAATCATTCTCATGTGGAACTGTTAATTCAGTCTACATTTACGATTCACAGTTTCGTTTAGTTTGCAGATTTTTATTAAATGGTATTAGAAAATTCAGTCCAGTGCTTAATAATACATATGTTGGGTTTTTATTAGATGCAAGTTATTTATATGCTTCCAATGATTCATTGAGAAAGAGCTCGAGTCGAAAATTTCCGTTATCGTTTTAGAAAGCATTAAAATCTTTATTCATTTATCCTTCATTTAATGTACTCATTAGCATACTCCTCTTGTACCCAGTTTTCTCATCAGAATTTGCATCGAACAACGTTAATTGGCGTGTCAATCGTTGCGAAAATTCCATCTTACGGATATTGCTAAAAAGCGTATCCAATATTAAGATGTAAGCGTTGTAAAATATGAATTATGTTTAGCAATTCTCAAAGCTACAGAATTATTGCTAATATTTTAACAGAAGATTTTTCATTATCAATACATTTTGTCATTTGTCCATAAAAACGTAATGTTTATGTGCAGGTTTAGATTACAAATCTAGTTCACGTATAATAATGACTCAACATACAACAGTGCCTCTCTCTTCAAATTCTTAGATTTTAGATGCATAAGATTTCTACGGCACATATATAAAACATTAATAAGAGCGAGTTTGCAGTATATATGTAGATACATATTGAAATATTGAATTCGTTAAGGATATGCAAATCCCGATTGCGTTCAACGTAAGGAAACGATTACTTGAAAGTATCATTGAGAAATCGAATTGGTCGACGTTGGTTGCGATTGACGAGTCACGTGTGCGTGGGGAGCACGTGATCCGTACGCAAGAGGCCTTTGTGAATGAAGGAGGAAGGCCCCTGGGTACGCTCGCCTTACTCGCTTCCGGAAATCGCGAGCGCGTCGGCCGGATGCCCGAGAGAAAATAAAGGAAGTAGCCAACCGCGATGAAAAGTACGGCTGGAAGTGTAACCGGCCTCCGCGGCTGCTCGCGCGAGATCACCGGGGAATATTAAGGAAAACGAACCACAACTACGCTGAATGATAATCGCGTTATCCTTTTTGTTTTCTAGGAAGTCGATCGTTGATATTCGACGCTGGTTTTTAAATGCTTCGCGCTACGATGAACGCGTTTCTTTTAAGCGAATTTAGAACGCTGGGAGAGGATTGAAACGGGGTTTTGTAATCCACCGTTGAAATATTAATCATTCTCATGTGGAACTGTTAATTCAGTCTACATTTACGATTCACAGTTTCGTTTAGTTTGCAGATTTTTATTAAATGGTATTAGAAAATTCAGTCCAGTGCTTAATAATACATATGTTGGGTTTTTATTAGATGCAAGTTATTTATATGCTTCCAATGATTCATTGAGAAAGAGCTCGAGTCGAAAATTTCCGTTATCGTTTTAGAAAGCATTAAAATCTTTATTCATTTATCCTTCATTTAATGTACTCATTAGCATACTCCTCTTGTACCCAGTTTTCTCATCAGAATTTGCATCGAACAACGTTAATTGGCGTGTCAATCGTTGCGAAAATTCCATCTTACGGATATTGCTAAAAAGCGTATCCAATATTAAGATGTAAGCGTTGTAAAATATGAATTATGTTTAGCAATTCTCAAAGCTACAGAATTATTGCTAATATTTTAACAGAAGATTTTTCATTATCAATACATTTTGTCATTTGTCCATAAAAACGTAATGTTTATGTGCAGGTTTAGATTACAAATCTAGTTCACGTATAATAATGACTCAACATACAACAGTGCCTCTCTCTTCAAATTCTTAGATTTTAGATGCATAAGATTTCTACGGCACATATATAAAACATTAATAAGAGCGAGTTTGCTTTTATTTATGCTGAAGAATTCAAAGAAATTGGAGAAAAATTGTTTCCGGATTCACTCGTGCGTAGATAATCGACGTATTTCGATAAATGTACAGCTTTTTATATTCGATAATGATAAAAAAAGGTGAAAAGACCGAGTAAAAACAATAAACCCAGTTTCCGTGTTTTTTTTATAGGGAATATATGTACATATATTATCAGCCACAAGTTCTATATGTATATTGTAGGTCGAGTATATGTACATAAATTGCAATACAAATATGCATTCTAGTTTTTATTACATATTATATTAAGAAATGAACGAGGATTGGGAATTGAATAAAACAAAGTTATTTTATCTTTATTGAAAATATATTGAAGGATAAGAAATGCACATTCTACTCGTCGAATCTGGTTTCCTCAACGCGAATCAATTTCCACGTAGCGGATTCCGTTGGCAGTGAAAATTCCCACAACAGAAATTCTACTCCACTGCGTTTCAATGCTAAATTCAAGTAAAGAAACCTTCGACGCGGTATTTCTCGTTCCCCTTGTCCCCTTTATTCGTTAATTCCTTCGTAAACTGACCGCTGACCAAGTAAATGAAGTGGTTTGTCAATGTAATTCGCGTTATAACATCGTGTACCAGAATTAATGATACACCTTAATTCAAAAGCGAGTTATCCCTCGCCAAATTATTTAATGCAGGCACAGAGAGTTGACAGAAATTGATAAAATAATTTAACGACATTCAACAATTTATTTTAGCACATGAAAGATTATTGAATTAAAATCATTCATATTTATTTTATACTAAAATGTGCAAACATTAATACCAATTATTTTCATTATAAATATTTGCACGCAATCTTCGCGAATGCAACAGGAATAATGAACCCACGATCTTGAACTTGCACTCATTATCAGCGAAACACAGGACTTTACATTCGCACGAATTACACGGGTAAAGACGATAAGTGATAAGCTAAGCATTTCTCGGCTGCTACCTGATTCTCGCGGAATTCGATGACTTGGTGTGAACGTCTGTAAGGCGAGCCATTTACTAGAAATGTGTCTACGACGAGGAAACGTGCGACTGTCGGTCAAGTTTACAAAACAGTGCGAAATTCTAGATTCGAAATGGACTAAAGTTTTGATTTAAAACAAGAGAATCAGAAAATCTATTTTATATTAATATAAGAAGTTAGATCGAATTCTATACAAAAGTAATGCAAAATGGTATATAATCCTTTTTTTAATTTTATTCACATTTCTTTATGTAGACATAGCCTGTGACGTATAACACATTTTCTGTACTTTCACCCCTTTCGTTCTCAGCTACCGTTCTCCATCATTACCCTACTTCCCGCATACCTTCTTTTTCTCTTTTTCTTTTTCTTCCCTCTCCCTTTCTGTATCCTCTTTATCACGCAGTTCCTTCATCGTTCACTCACCCCTGCACATTCGTTCCATTTCCACAATTCTGACCATATCTTCTCGATCGATACTTAACATCCTCGTCGACAATTATGAGAATAATTAGCAATATTCAGTAAAAAACATTTTTACGTATTTATTCCAATGCAATATATATTTTTTTATTTATATTTATTTATTCATTGTACACAAGACTATTGGTATAGAAAGTTTACAATTAAACGTTTGCCTGGTTGAACAAGATTTTATCTTAAAAATTGCAACGTGCCTGATAATTCCTGCTCGGCAGTGCACGCACTGAGTGAACGCAGCCCGACACTTGCTCATTTCAGCAAGAAGTACGTCTCGTATTATGCAAATGGTCTGCCTGCTCGACTTCTGCCGGATGTGACGTCACAGCCTGAAACATCAAAGTTTCAGAAAGCAGGTGCGATTAATATACATGGACGTTTCGATACGCGAGACCGCGGCGCGGCGTGCTAATTGCATGAATATTATAATACCTTATCACTGATTATTTGATGCTCCAGTACCGTTTTGTACCTCGTAGACACATATCTAACCCTTAGCTTCAGTCTTTAGCATTGAATTAAAATTAATACTCTGCGTCACGTGAAACATTCTATTATGATATTCTGTACAATTTTGTATTAAATTTTATGTCCTGACAAAAGTATATGCAATTTTAAAATCGTTTCGCTGGTAATCAATATTTGTTTGAATGAAGGATGATAGTTGTTCCAACGATTGACTCAATCATTAATAACACTGAACTGCTTTCTGGTACAATGTAACATGAAAGCTGATCGCGATTAATACGCGTCGCGTGTACGACGAGATAAAGTCGTTTTCCTTGTTCTTTCCGGCTGAGTGAAAATCGTCAGATCAAGATTATCAACAGTCCTTCCATCCTGTGTGTAAACGCATTTTTCTGCCACTGAATACTATTTATTATAACACTGCCTTCGTTGTCGACAATCCATATTCATTATTTCTCAAATGAATGAATAAAAATCTGTAGAAGTGTAAAGAATTTATAAATATAAAAACCAATTAGTTTTTATTTAATTAAGAACACTGATCAGATATTTTATATATTTTTATCACAGTCGAGTTGCACTCATGACTAAGAAAATTTCTAAATCATTCAATAAGGATTTCCCCTCGGGTTTTCCTGAAACTCGTGCGTACGAAAATTCATAAGAAACAGAATAAATCTTGCATGCAGTCATTTCTTGTGAATCTGATCATAAGCGCTAATTCCACGTAACTTCGCATTCATATGCTAATTAACCGGCTTTCATTCATTATGAACGTTTCCATTAATTACGTGTTGTACTGCTAATATACAGAGATCGATAACGGATACCATGTGTGGCGAATCTCGAGATAGCCGCGGAATTTTGATGATTGATCATGGGACAACCAGAAAGCAACCGGACGTTGATCAATTTATTCTTATCAAGTATGCACCTGTGGCGTTCAACGAATCGATTTATGCATTCGTCAGGTTCTTAAACTCGTTTTCTCGCTGCGGTATTTATAACGAAAGTGAAACTCTAATTATTTTAATGTTAAATCAATCCGTATCGAGTCTAAATAAATTTTTTCTTTGAACATATCATCAATAATAGAAAGAATGATTTAGGGTCGAAGTCGTATTCATTGTTAGTAACATATTTTCACGAATATATCATAATATCATTTGCTCGTTACGAGCGGATAATTATTATCTACTCGCAGTACTCGTTCTTTCGGTTTAAAAGCGACTGAACACAAGATCGACACGCAGAGTACGACGTTCGCCTCATTCGCAAATTAATCGTGTCTGGTCACGCACTTCTCCGTCCGGTTAATTTCTTCTTAACTCTTACCTTTCGCTCGATTTCTCGGATTGATATAGTCGTGCCCCGATCAGTGTTAACGTCCTACGTTCAACCAATTCTCTGTACCGTTTCAACACAAATCAATTTTTCACGATATTAATTATTGTTTAAAACATTGCCTTGGGCAAGCCACGAAACATTTCATTATAGTAGCAATTATAATGGGATGCAATTAATTACTAGCGCACGGGGACAACGGTTACATGGAAAGAGTGACAGAGCGGTAAAACGACATGCCTCGACGCAATCGAGCGAAACGGCGCGTGTAAAATTTCACTACGGCCAATGCGAAATGATTATCAAACGAATCTGTCGCTATCAGTCGAGCGGCGATTCTCATTCAGCCGTAAAAAGGTTGCGACGGCTTGAAGGACTTGATCTCGTCGCGCTCAAGACGCTTATTAATTGCAATCGACTCTCACTGAAACATTGTGTGTAATAAAAAAATGTATCTTTCAAAAGGAGGCGGGTTCTCCGACTGTGTTTAAGAAATCTGGACTGGTTCTCTCCTTACAGCTGGTCTTTTAATGAAAAATTAAGTCGTCATCATGTACCGTGTTTTATATAATTGGATTTAATCATCTGGTTGTACGTGCATTTTTGTTGACTCTTTTAACCAATTATTTACCTGACACAAAATCTATTATTATAGAAAAACAGTCCATAAATCTACCTCGCTAATGTATAATCTTATTCATTTAATTATTCATAAAGCACAGGTTCGTAACGAATTGTACCAGTTAACCTTTGAAAGCAAGTAAATTATATTCCCGGCTGCCTGGCAACAGGTAGTAAAAATAGTTTGGAGCATTTACGTATTCATGTTAATGATTACTGTCACACGTATTATCTTAATTACCGCGGCGGCCGTTGCCGCTATCAATACGCACCCGTCGCTGGCACCAAAAATTATCGTCGCTTTCGAATGTTGCTGTAATGCCGGCGTATTTCTCGGCCGTATCGTCGCGTGAATCGCGTTTTCCATTATCAGCCCTGTTTACCGATAATTATTATGAAATCGCGGAGTAAACGTGGGAAACGCGACGTGTGCGCTCGTTCTTCAAAACACGGATTATAGTTCAATGAAAAATTACAATAAAGAGCGACAAGGTATGCACGGTTCTATGAGTAGAGGAGGAATACAATAGGAGATTGTCTGGTCAGACTGTATGCAAAGAGAACTCGCGAATTTTAAATAGAACTCCCCACTTCTATACGGTTTGGAAATATAGCTGTGACAATGAACAAGAAAAATGAGTGTCGAGAAAGAATTAACTTTTCATCTTATTTTTTGTAATGAGGCCATTAATCTCTGCCTTCGAGTGCGATTCCTTATTTTTAGTTTCAATGAAGATAATGAGATATTACTCTGTCGACAGACAGATCTGTGCTAATAGAAAAATGATATTAACAAGCTTGGTATCAGGTGTCTAAAAATACAGATATTCTGGCCTCTTAGATTAGAAAATAATTAACGAAAAACCTGATTCTTAACATATTTTCATATAAAATATACATATGTTCAATTTCAAAGGAATATTTCTGTGTATTAATGAAGCAGAGTGTTTGTTATATCCACATTGTGACACTGTATCAGCAACACGATAAATCTTAACGTCGCATCGAGTTTCCGGTCATTCTGAATGAACCAGTCGAAACATCAAGTAGTAAACTGCATAAATAGATTTCCATACGAATCTCCAATAGAGATTGAAAATGTGACACACTTGAAAGGAGCGAAATCGGTTTTCGTTCACGCCCATTCACGAAATACGTACCAAACGTGTAAGTACGTACGCCTTCGCAGTCGTTCGTTAGAGGCACCGATTGCCATTCACAAGTACTTATTTGGCATTGACACGTGTGCGAGCCTAGCAAGCCGTGGCGTCAACTTTTTCCCGCCACGTAAGCTCGACTTGGCCTCGCGACTCGCCTCGCCTCGGTCTCGCTATCACTATCACTATCACGTCCGTGATAAGACGCCGGCTTAAAGAAAAATGCAGTCTCCTGCCGGCGCGGTCTCACTCGAGTGAATCCGAACCGGGAACTTGCTTGCAAGGCGACGTTTAAAGCCTGACCAGTTCTATGAATATCTTTCTAATTCTTTAGCATTAATAATAATAGTATCTGATGAAATGATACCTAAATTACTTTCAGGACTCCATTAGAAGTCATGGATTCGATGAAAGGAATGTAAAATTAAATATTAAACAATGCATAAAATATACTTTTTAATTAACTTTAAATTTCTTGAAAACTCGTGGGTTGCATTTGTCTGTCATGAGATTGTTTACATTCCAGGGCGGCCGATTATACGACAGGCATCTTTCAGAGCATCGGCTTCAAAGAGTTTCACGATTACCTCGTGCTGTCTGAAGAGGAGAGGCAAGAGAAAAAGGTGAGATGCACCGTCGTCACGTTTCTCACCGCAGCTGCGGCGTCTTTGTTTCGTGAGACATTCTATGCGCTTGATATTAGCTGGTTTCATACATTCTATTGATTTTCCAAATAAAATCTTCAAGAATTCAATCATAAATAAGTTATTGTTTTCTCTTACTTCAAAGTGGTCAAACATTTGATCATGTATTTGAATATTTGTTGCAGGGTGAAGAATTACTGAAAAAAGGCATCGACGATTTAAAATTGGTCACCAAAAGATACGCGAAGAAACAGGAGAAGTGGATAATGAATCGGTTAATTCGTCGTAGTGATAGACAGGTATATATTTTTATTTTTTTAATATATTTATTTAAGCTCAAGTAGAATTCTGAATTCTATTTAATGATTGCAGGTACCGATTTATGCTTTGGATTGCACGGACTTAAGTCAGTGGAACGCTCGCGTGTACGATCCGGCGATAGCCATAATCGAAGCTGTGTTGAGAGGTGAAAAACCAGAACAGAAGCCTTTGAACGAAATTGTCCAGGATAAGAAATGGACAGACAGCAGTAACGAAGAGACTCATTTTTGCGAAGTAATTATCAGACGTCTCATTCTTGATTCATCGGTTGGATTCTGCGTCGATAATCGAAAACTGTAACTTTTTACAGGTTTGCGACAAGATATGCGTTGGAGAGTTTCAGTGGACCAATCATTTGAATGGCTCGAAGCATTACAGGGCTCTAAAGAGGAAAAAGAGATTGGAGCAAAAGGAACAACAAAATAATGTTGAACAGAATCATCAAATTTGAATATTGTCATTTGCATGCTGTGATTTCGTTAAATAAGTTAAGGTACAATATATATATATATATTGTTACATACATTTTTTTGTATTATGTAATATAAAAGAGATTCGAATATTTATTTATAAAAAATGTGTTTTTGCGTGGATCCCTGAGGACTACTCTGTGCGTGTTGAAATATCTGTATGTGGTAAGGTAGGGAACTGGGTATTCTCTCACGATAGGAATTCTATCTTATTCCCTGTTAGTATACTACTTTCCTCTTTATTCATTACTGGTATATTACCGTTCCTTGGTACATGCATCAAGGAGAAATTGTTAAAGAGTTGCAGCTTTATGGGACCTCGCGGCAGGAAATAAGAATATACTGAGAGTACTTGACGAGGAACAGGATACCTCCATCTCAGTCATTCTAGGTCCTGCCAGGCCCTCTTCGCCTGCCGCACATTAACGCGGGCGTTGTTATTCTTTAGTAACTTCCTCTCGATGGTGCATGTATCACATATTATGAAGTACAGAGTGAAACAGTCGAATCTCTATAGATGACAGAATATGAATCTTCCATGCAAAATCAATATTTTTTATAAAATTATATATAATATAATGAATGTGACTTAATTAATGATGCCTCCTTGAACAACACTATTAATATAATAAATATAGCGTGGAAGGGCTTATTGCCTATCCCCGTATTATTTCTTCTAAGTACTTCGGGAATACTTTTTATTCATATTGAATAGCTGTAAATCTGTTAAAGGCCATTCATCTGGTCACGACGTTTCGTTTTTATAATCCGATCGACGGCTTTGACGCCCGCGTCCCGCGTAAAATTGCCACGGAGGGTGAAAGAGCACGAGCACCCTTTTGCATTCTACGATTTCAATTAACATCCGCGGGGAGAGGGAACGCGGTACGTCGACCCTTCCGTAACGAGCGGTCCTCCTTTCCCTCTGAGTGACTCTTTACCACGGTCATTTACGGCCTTCAATGCGGCATCTGGAATGTTTCGCGGCTAGCGAAACATTGTCAAACGCACGCGTCGGTTCGCGCCTCCCGCCTTGTCGTGAAATAAACCCGGGAAACGGGGGGAGGCGGCCGGTGAACCGCGGGCGTCGATCAACCGCGTCGCCGATTTCCGGGGGACATTTTCCATAGCGGCGCGGCTGGCAGGTTTTGTCGCGAGGGCTGAAAGACGTTTTGTCGCCGACTGATGAGGTTTTGAGGACGGGAGGGGGCTCGGATATAATTTTCGATGCAGGACTGTTTTCCTGTAGACCAACTAATCGCGCTTTTATCGATGATGATAATTAAAACAGCCATTCTTTATATTATNTCTAACTTTTATTATTATTTCAAAATTGTATTATTTTCTGCGAATATAAAAAAGAGCTATTCTTACAATCTGCAGCTCGAATTTTATGTGAAAATTCTCCTCGGTGCGTAAGCGGGGACAGAAGAATGGAATGAACGCTCGAGGATGAATTCCGGCCCGCGCATAAAACGCTCAATGACGGAAGTATCTACTCCCGCTCGCAGAACTGGTTCCTGAACTAGTCTCGATTAGCCAGCTGTGGTTTACGTCTATCTAGCTAGCTTTGAAAGACAAGCTCGAAGAGGACAAGATTATTTTCTAACTGAATGCCGACTGGCGCCGCGATTGGAACCGGCAGCCTTGAACGTAAGTACGTCAGATATGGAAATATGCGAATGCTGTAATCAATTGGTTGCATGGTTGCTCGTCCCGATGAAACATGCTTCTCTTTGATGTACCGTGTCCAGCCGCGCGTGCAAATCACTCACAGAGATAAATTATCGCGCAATGTGGTACTGCACGAATTTACAGTAGGAAATCTTATCAATTTCCAAGTTGTTTTATTAACGGGTAAATACTTATTATCGAATTCGGGATAAAATTTTCGATTCCTGCCTAGAAGATAAAAATAGTTAAATCCTAGATTATTTAATTTCACTGATTCTTCGTATAAATGTAGAAGTTATCGTTCCATTGATTATTTGTTTTCGATTGTAATTTCACACAGAACAATGCCGTTTACTATTCCGTTCTTCAATTACTGTTAGAGGATTGTATCAAATGTACACAAGGGGTGCAAATTACTTTTCAAGTAATGATCGCAGCACGTGTCGCAGGACAGGGATTGGTTAATTAACGAGCGTCAAGTTCAAGCAGCGTCTGTTCCCCGGCAGCCCGTTTTTCTTCGTTTACCAGTAATCTGTTAAATACAGGGAGCGTATTTGTCGCGAGAGGCAACGGTAGACGTTAACGGGAGACTCGCTCGTTTCTATAATGGCTTGTTTATATAACTTGTTTAACTTCCCTGGCGCGAATTAAGCGAGACGTATATTTTTGGCAACGTTTAGACGCGATGAATTTTGATTCCTCTTCCCAGAAAGGCGAAGCCTTTGTGCCGAATTTTAATGCTCTCCTACTTTTCGTTCTGAAATTACAATCGAATATTCTGATCCAATCATATTTCTCATAAAATCTGATTTGCTGGGTTTATTCAAAAATTGTTTTTTAGTAGCCCTTTAGATTTTATACAAACTGTAACTGCGAGAGGTGTGAAAGGTTTCGAACAATCGCAGGTGTTGCGAGCGACATGTAATTACGTGTCGCCCTCGCATTAACCAAGCTGAACCCCCGGTTCGATAAGTCCATTATGACCTACGATTCGCGGGGCGAGAAAACAATAAACCGACGGCTCCGATCATAACTGCGTCGCGTCGGCCCGTCTATAATGTTCGATTATATCCAGTCGGCACTGTGCGACGGCATTATTAATAAAACCTCGCTGTAGGTACGTTGCACGTTTTAGCGTATGCACGATCGATCGTCGTTGGCAGGCAGACATCGTTTGCCGCCGATAAAGAATTCCAGTCAACCGTGACGCGAAAGTGAATCGCGATCCGGTGATATTGTTTATTAGCCCGCGCATGGTTGATGAATCACCGGGTCGAAAGCTGTTCTTCAGTGCCCGTGAATGAAATTACACGGATAGAGAGAATTTGTAAGGGAAATTGGATGCACGTAGAAATTGTGGGAATTATTAAGTGAGCTCTTATCCCCGTGGAGCTCCTTGACGAATATTTTTTTTAATTAAAACAAATTAAATTTTTTTATTTCTAATACAATAGATGCAAATAATATCTTTTAATTGATTGAAGTATTGTAATATCATAAAATTGCATTCATAGGAATATTTTAAATTGGAAACAAGGGACTGAAATAAAGAACAGAAATCGTCTGCCGGAAATTTTTCACGAAACTGGATCGACCGTCTGTCGTTAGCCTAAATAAAGCAACAAAGATTTTTCATCAAGTCCGATTGTTCTCTTGATACAATCGCTCAGCACGATAAAAGATTTTAATCACGACCGACCGGTTTAGTACCAATGGCTACAGAATCAATTCTCTAAGCATTCCTTTTTATCGACGTACTAACAATTCTATTGATTGCTGACATTTCTTATACGAAATTCTGTAAATGATTAAACATTGACGAGTAATTAATTTGCTATAATTATATACACAGATAGTGAGCAGAAATTCGATTTAAAATAGAGGAAGCGTTTATTTAATTAATCAGGTTCTTCCAATCAGTCAGTGTTCTTCTCTGTTCGGATGCAAATCTATCAAAACGAAGATTCGTTTCGTATAATATGGGACAGAGTGATTGAAGCGTGTCACAAAGAGCAGGCCAATGTTGTTTATACGCCGCGGTTTCATTATTTATTATTCGATTAACTCCCTCGACGCTATTAATTGGATTGGAACAGCGCGCGAGGAATTATTTTGTTATCTCGCATTTTCCTCCTCTCGGTTCACATCGGTTACGTTAAATTCCTCATGCTACAGATTTGAATCCTCATTTTTATTAAATGCCTTGCCCCTATGATAAGATACTGATAAGAACTATATACGATAAACTCTATTCTGTAATTATTTAATTTCGCAATATTCACGTCGATATAATGTTGCTCATGCTTTTTATGATCCATTGTGTCTCGCGAGTATGTCATATCTTTTTAGTCGTATTACACTTTCGTTATAAGTCAACCGTGACTCATTCCTACTAGTTAACATATTCGCTACGCCTGTCGTTTATTTAAGATGATCATGCTCGGTGTCATGGATCGCTGACTACGTCCAACGGATTTGTAACAGCTGATTAATTGGAATTAACTATGTAATGACGATATGCATAATGACAGTATTCAAGGAATTTCAATCGACGATAAAATTAATGAACTTGGATCTTGGAAATAAAAAATAAATAAATAATTTAAATATTTTAGTGTAATCGTTTATTAATTTATAGTTTATTAATAAGTAATTAAATCGTTTATTAATAAGTAATTATTAATTACATTTAAAGATTTCATTGCTACGAGCAATAAATTCATTCTTTCTAAATTTTCATAAGTACAATAAATGCAATTTTGTTTCAACACTTTCGGAGCGCGTGAAACAATATTGATAAAATTGTTCCCATTCGGTTTTCGCAGGGAAGTCGCGAGTGGAAAAACAAGGAGGTCAGAGGCGAGAGGAAGAAATAAAAAAATAGAAGGGGTAGAGGAAAATGTGTCTCGTGCAATTTCGTGGTTGCTGTGGCGGGTTCGCTAAAAAACACATAATGCCGGCGGCCGCAAGATGGCGACGCATTGGCCGGCGCCGTGCGTCGTGCCGGCGGCAGTCGCAAGGACGACGCCGTCACCGCCACGTGGGAGCGAATTTGAATCGGCCGCCACCGGCTGCACACACTCCACGGGTCAACGTTGTACCTGAGGAACCCCGGGCTCAGCTTAATCGCGGCGTTCACCCGGACCGGGGCCGCGTTTCATCTGTCGTCAAGGTTTCACGGTTCGCCCGGCACCGAAAGCGTTGGACCACGGGGGGTGCGAAACGGTAGCGCGAGCGTTATTCGTCACTGTCAACAAACGGGAGCGGTGAAGGAGAAGAGACACGAGAAGGGTGAGAAAGAGAGGGAGAGGGACAGTTAGAATCAACGTGACGACGTGTCTAACGTCGTCGTGCCGGCGACCGGCGGAGTAGGAGGAGGTTAGGAGGGAGAAAAATCGAGAAAGGAAGGCGGCAAGTGTCAC